GATCTCATCTTTTCTAACTCAGGCTTCTTGTTGCAACTTACTCCCGGGTTTTCCAAATCCAGCACAAACATTTCTGCTGTTTTCTCCTTCATAGCTACCTCTTAAGACAGGCTTGAACCTTTCTAGGTTAAAGTCTTCTGTCTTTTTGCAGCCTTCTCTTCTTGTCTTTAATAACCATATAGATGCATCCTGCCAGGCTGGGGAGTCACTGGGCTCTTTACCCATTCTTCCCAACGTGGCCACATGGATTCAACCTCCTCTCTCTGCTCTCACCTCCCCCCATCTCTAACTGGCATACAGGGATGCGTGCTTGGCTTGGCTTAGCCTAGCCTGCTGGGGCTGCTGGAACCAGGCTTTTTGCCCTAAAACCCAGGGTTACATTAAGAACAAAAGTTCCATAAAGCCTACGTGGTCTGAAGCCCATGTTTACTTGCATTCTATTGAGCACCAGGCCACCTCCAAGTCCAATGAGAATGAGATGTGGGTCCATAGCACCTGCTCTGCTCCAGGCCCTTCACAGATGTGCTCAGGCCTCCAATACACGCCATGCCCCCTTCTAAACTTCTGAATCTTTAGCCACAGGAGGTCCCAAAGCAGCAAGGGAGAGCGGCTTAAAGGTATCTGACTACTCCACAGTTAAATGAAAACAGCTATCACTAAACTCACTGCAGAAACGAATCATGTTAGAGGTCACTCAGCTCTCAGAGCCTCGGGTTCTAGAATACACTCCTGAACATGGTGGTAGTGTTCCCCCTTGGGGCGGGGCGGTGGGGCAGAGGGAGTCATGCAAAATAAAGACGCAAATATCAACTTATAAAATAAACACACTTGTAGATGTCTTATACAGTGGGGCTCCATGCTCACGTCTCATCTCCAGAAGAGTGAAAGCTGGCAGTCAAGATCCCTGAGCTGCTCACAGTTCAACCACACTCAGGACGCTGCCTCTACTGGACTCAGTTTCCTGATTTATAAAACTGGAAATGGGACTGGAAAGAGGGCTCAGTGGCTCGGAGCATTTGCCCTTCTTGTAGAGGACCTGGATTCAGGTCCCAGCATCCACATGGTGGCTTACAACCACACGGAGCGCCAGTTCCAGGGGAACCAGTGCTCTCTCTTCTGGCCTCCATAGGCACCAGACATGCACGCAGGGCATACAAATACAGGCAGGCAAAATCTCATACACACAAGAAGTAAGTCTTTAAAATGGAAACTACTTCATAGTTTCTTGTTTTTATGAGGGCACAAGGAAAACTTGCACAGTGGAGCATACCTGTAATCCTGCCACCAAGGAGGTCGAGGCTAAGTCAGGAGATTCATGATTTTGAGATTTTGGGGGGAAAAAACTAGTAAATCTAAAATATTTAAAGATACAAAGTTCAAAGCACACGGAGATTTCCCCTGGGTTACAGGTCATGGCCTGAACCCCGCTCCCCTTCTCACTGAACCTCGTCCATGTAGCCATGTTCTCTTCCATGACATACAGAACGTGACCCTTCAACTATGACCAATAATAATATCAACGGCAGGTTAACCCAACCATAGGCAATCAAACCCCAGATCATCCTGCCGTCTCTTTCCTGCACAGTGCCAGCTGCCTTCCCGTGCATCCCCACGGGGCTGACTCCCATCTACAATGGGGCTCTGAGAGTAGAAAATGGCTTCCCACTTCTCCTGTGGTCTATACTTTTTGAAGCCCCAATGTGATAATAAAAAACACGTAAATCAACACAAGTGTCCATAGGACAGAGATCACACGCCAGAGGTCATGCCCTCACATGGTTTCACCTCCTGGAATTGGCTGGGGTAGCATTAACCCTGAACTATAATCATGGCTGAGTCTGAGGTTTTTCTATGCCCCTTGTACTGGGCAGAGAACATATGGAGTTCTATGCCCAGGCTCAAGATCAAGGACTGGCAAGCCCTGGGTGACTCTCAGGGTTTCTGGTTCAAAGATAGCATTAAATTAGTCATGGCTGAGTCCAAGCAGCTGGAGTGGAACAGAAGGCAGAGGTAGCACCAGAGGCAGGAATGCTCCAGTGGCTGCTATCCCAGTTAGGGCTGGCCAAAGAGCCCTGGCAGGCAGCTGGCATTCACCAGAACCGGCTCCCTCTTCACAAAACAATGCATCCACTGTTAACCGCCCAGAGACTTGATTAATATTTGCAAAAAAAAACAAAGTGGAAAATTCCACCTGTGTGGGCGGAAGCTAGACTCAGGGTATGTCAACAAACCTCACAGCCTTGTTCTCTCCAGGATGGATACAGATGGATACAGGATGGATATATTTATTATATATATACCTATATATAATAAAGATTATATATGGGTCTGAGGAATTTTTCCATTTGAGAACATGGAGATATTAGAATAAAACATTTTTTTAAATTGTCTTCTCTCCCCTGCTCCAAATCTAAACCCTTCAACTCGATTTCCAACTCTGTTTTCTTCTGAGTTTTCTGACGGTGCTGTTAGAGTGACAGAGGTGATGTCAGTTCCATGGGGAAACTGAGGTAGCAAGAGCCCGAGAGCTTTGGCCATGGCCAAGTGATAGCAATTAAGTTGTAGAGCCAGCAAATTTGGAGGCTTGGAGTCTCAGCTGCAGCAGCTACTCAGACCTGCTGGAAGTCTGGGTGATGGACAGAGTCATCTTCCAGGCTCTGGACCGTGCTGCAACCTTCTCCTACATGATGGAAGAAATCCAAAGCAATCTTCCCAGGTGTGCAGGCTTAGGCACAGCCTTGGAGGAAGGCATGTACTAATTTGTTCATTCATTCTGGAGTTTAACGACTAGCCTTTGAGCCTCTGGACATGAAGACTTGCTGTGCCCGGTGGCTCTTGAAGCCCTGCAGACTGAATGCATGACTACAGGCAGCATGCAAAGACTCTCTGAAGATTGCTTCCTTCAGATTCTAGACACCTCTTCACTATGATGGCTCGATCGTACAGGAAAGGAAACTGAGGCTCTGAGGAGAGTGGTGGCTTGCTATTCATCCAGAAGAAGCTAAGCCCTCTTTACTTCTGTGGCCCTGCCTCTGATGACCAGGCTTAGGCACCTAAGCAAGTGAGTCCACTCCAGCTGGTCATCTTAAAGGCAGAATGTTCAATCAACAAGGATCATGGTGGGGTGAGGAGGACACTTGTGGCAGGATGGATTCCTGAAGACAGGCAGTATAGCCTCTTCACCCAGTTATGACCCCATCTGCAGCTGCAGAGTCTTGCTTACATTTCCTTCCACTGCCCATGGGCCACAGGTACACACCCCTGTCTCAGAGTCAGGGCAGTGTCATCTCTAAGCCTGTCATCACTGGCTTTGGGGATGGGTTGGGGACACTTCTCAGGCTGTGTGTGGAGGCTGTCCTGGCATGCTGGCCTGGGCATTCTCCTGTCTCTTCCACCCCTTCTTACCCCCTTCACCTGACTCTTCCTCTCTCCTTTGCCACCATATTCTTCTCTGGGATAAGAAACTCAGACAACTGCCCTGACCCATTTCTCAAACCAAGCCAATCCAGTACCCAATTCCTTATGTTTGTCCCCTTTCCCCTTGCCAAGGTCAGGTGAGGTCACTCCAGCTTCTGTGTTCATGTGACATCAAGAACTTTCCTGCTAGGGCTGAAATACCTCCTACCCACCTTTCTGCCTCAGGGACCAAGAAATGGCTGACTCACAGTCACAGACCTGTCCCTGGGCCTGACCTCTCTATCCTTACTGCCCCAAAGCCCTTGCCTTTTGCCCTGAGCTTACTACAGCAGGGTATGTTCTGCCAGAGCAGCTCCAAGACTGCCCAGGGATTGGCACTCAGCTACTCACTGAATGAACACATGTTGGCAATCAGCTGTGACTTGCTCAGCTGAGAGGGAGTTCTCCCCTACTTGGTCTGCACAGCCCCACAGGTTGTTTTTCAAAACTGAAGACTGATTGCCATCTAAACATCAGCCCCATGGGACAAAGTTCCCATATGGAAACTGGAAAACAAGGCCATCTCCACTTTCCTTTTGCACCAGGGCAGGCACTCTGGCCTTGCATGTTCCTGTCACAGTGCTCAGCTTCACGCGAAGAGCATGCACCTTTGCACCCTGGTAGCAGGCAAGTGTTTACTGTTCAGAAAGGCTGCTATGAAAGCTCAGTGTTCCCAGGAACCACTGGGCCGGAACAGCTCGCAGAGGTTGAATGAGGGCTCTGGATGGCCCAGTCCCAGGTGGGGGTGGGGCTACAACTTTCTCTTTGTGAGTCTCCTTGGTCCGGAACCAGAACAATTTTCTCAGGAAACTATTCCTTGCAATCCCACAGAGGTTAGGGATTGGGCCTTTTCCAGGTGAATCAAAATCAGAACCTTCACCTGAGTCTCGCTGATGAATTTAGTTTATGTCCTAGTAGGGCTTCAGCAAACACAGCTGCTTGACTCCACCCAAGCTCTCAGCAGGGACTAGCAAGACTTCTGCCAGAGGCCTCCCTCCAATTCCACTGTCTACAAGTTTGATGGTCCCAGCTAGGCTACCAATATAGGAAGGGCCGAAGCAACAGAATTCCAGGCTCTGTAGTCCTTTCTCTGACTCTGAACGATACCGAACTATCTCCCTCTCAAGCCATTTCATCTCAAAAGGATGATTCCCTTGCCCACCTTCCCAGAATTAAGGTCTGAGAGGTGGTGGAGAATCCAGCAGATCTCATTCAGGCAGCAGCACTACTGTCAAATGTCAGAACTTCAGCTCGGAACCCACAGTGCTGAGACACCAGCTTCGGGACCCCAGATGTAACCGCCAGACCTCACTCTATAGAAATACACTTAACCAGAAAGCCTGAGAGGCCTGGGGTGGAGATTCCTATCACTATTACCTTGTAACTGTAAGTTCCTGTCGCTGGTCGCTGGTTCCCTCAAAGAAGCCCAGAAAGTTTCGGTGGCTCGAGTCCCTCCCCCTTTTCTTTCCGGGACTCTTTTTGGGTAAAGGAGGCTTCAGGTCCTCCCGACCCACCCAGCCTAGGACCCGAAGCTGGCTACTCACCCGGGACAGCTCCGCACCTGGGTTGGGACGGTCGGTCACTGAAGGACAGGAGCTAGGAGCACCGAGAAGGCGGTGGCCGCCGATCCTCGCCCGCTGCGCTTTAACTGGCGGCCCCGGGGTGTCGCGTGCTTTCCTCGGGTCGGGCCGGGGCTGCTCCGTCCGACTCCAGGCGCCGGTGCGGTCGCTCCACCTGGCCTGCGGCACACACCTGTGCGCGGGGCTCGACACACACGGCGTCTGCAGGAGCTTCTGTCCTCCCCGGCCCAAGTCATTCGCACCCCGCCCACCCCCGCAAGTCCCGAGGGCGACAAGGCGGCCGCTTTACTGTCCTGGGACCAGGCCAGCGCCCTCCCGGGCTAGGGCAGGGCAGTACTGTGGGAGGCGGAGCCCGGAGAACTGCCGCGGGCGCCTGGATAAGAGGACCCTGAATCTCCTGCCCCAGCTCCGCGTGGTGGTGGGCGTTGGCCGGGCCATGTTGCTAGTGTTGCTGAGCCTGGCTACAATGTACAGGAGCGCCCTGCCCCGAGAGCCGGTAAGCATCCCCCTCCACCGTGGGCACCCTTTCCCTCGGTTCCCATCTTTTTAGCTGAACCCTGACAAGCATATGAAGACCTACCGGCTCAACTGTCCAGGAAATTGTCCATGGACCACCCTCAGAAAGGGGCCAGATTTGCACCCCCTGAGATAACCTCAATGGGCCTTGAACTCATACCATCCATCTATTCCCATCCTGGAAGGTATCTGCTGTCAGACTGCTTCCCGGGGGTGGAGGGACGTGAGGTTTAGAACTGTCACAGATGCTACCCTGGGCATTTGAGCTCATCTAATCTTAGTATTCTCCTCAAAAAAGGGTGCTACTCCACTCACACAGGTATGCCTCGTCTCCGGGTTCATGATGACAAACAGGACAGTATTGCTTACATCTGTGCTGGCCACCTATTGGGTCAACAGACAGCCTGCATCTGTCTGCTTGCTTGCTTTTCCTTTCTGTCTAGGGCCATGTTGACTCCTGACGGTAGCTTTCCTTTCTTCTCCAGTTCCCATGAATGAATCTTTCTAGTTATTCAAGAGGAAAAAGCTCATCCTCACAAGGCATTTAGACGCAATCCCATTCACACAGCATAAGGTGTCCTTGATGACTGTGGAAAGTCAAAGCTTGCTTATGGTGTCCTGACGCCAGCAGCCGCTGTCCTTGCCCTCTCTATGCAAAAGGAAAATGGTCCTGGGGACAGCTGTGAGGAGAATTGAATGAACTCTACTGAGTGTAGAGCTGTCGCCTGGCTTTCTCTATACCTTGCCTTGCTACCATTCAACTAGATCTTGGTTCTTACTAGGTGGCTCATTTGTTTAATAAGAGAATGTCACAAAGCAAAGGACAATGGATGACTTCATCCAAACTGAATTTGCTCCATCAAAACCTTTGCTTCCTGCCTTCACCAAGGTTTTGGAAATGTGAGGGCTGAGATCCCAGAGTCCCTTGGGTTTGTCACATTGTGTCTTGCCACTGAAGATTACTGACAACTAAAATAAATGTTTTAGGCTCAATATACTATTTCCACACCATAATATTAATTTTTTTAATGTAAACTTCAAAGAGTTTTAGTACTGGCTTTTCATAGACACTAATGACTTTTACGTTTTTGAAAACTGTCTTAGGCCGGGCGGTGGTGGCGCACACCTTTAATCCCAGCACTTGAGAGGCAGAGGCAGGAGGATTTCTGAGTTCGAGGCCAGCCTGGTCTACAGAGTGAGTTCCAGGACAGCCAGGGCTACACAGGGACACCCTGTCTCAACCCCCCCCCCCAAAAAAAAAGAAAAAAGAAAAAAAAAAAAAGAAAACTGTTTTAGAAAGATGAGATCAGCCTGGCGGTGGTAGCGCATGCCTTTAATCCCAGCACTTGGGAGGCAGAGGCAGGCGGATTTCTGAGTTCGAGGCCAGCCTGGTCGGGCTATACAGAGAAACCCTGTCTCGAAAAACAAAAAAACAAAAAAACAAAAAAAAAAACAAAAAACAAAAAAAAATGAGATCACAGTTCCCCCTGGTTTTCTAAGTAGCTCAGCTGAGTTCTAGATCAGAAAAAGTAGTATGATATGAGTCTTGCTGTGGGCTGCAGCCATGGCTACCTGTTTTCTTCTCCTCTCTGCACAGCCAACCCTTAACTTGGAGAAGTTAATAGATACTACATTATCCTGAAAACCAACAGTTAAGCATTAGATGGTAAAAGGGGCCTCCCCATGGCTCTCAGTAATCCAAGGCAGGAGTGGATAACACGCACGGACTACTTAGTCTTCAAGGGGGTGAGTAGCTGCTAGGAAATCAGGTGCACCAATGGCCAATCCGTGGTCCATCACAGCTACAGTGGGACAACTTAATTCCCCTCAAGTTGTAAAGTGCAACCAAACTAGCTCTTCTCTTTCAAAAAATGGAAAGAATTTTACTTTTAATTGTGTGTATGTGCATGCACACACACATACCCTCGCCCTCAGAAACCAGAGACATTGAATTCTGGAGCTGGAGTCACAGGTAGCTGTGAGTTGTCAATGTGAGAGCTGACACCTAAGTGCAGGTCCTCCGTAAGGACAACATGCTGTCCTAACTGCTGAGCAGCTCCCAGCTCATCTTCCCTTTGAAAACTTGTCACCTGTGTACGCATCTAAAGAAAAAGATGCTTTGCCTAATTTGGTAAAGCGCGCATTGTGGTTTACTGGCTTCAACATGATATTTGGTTTCTCTCTTCCCTGCAGACTATTCAGTGTGGCCCTGAGACAGGTGGGTGCATTAGAGAACTGGCAAGGTCACGAGAGACCTGGTGCATTGCCTTGTTAACGGGAGTGAGGTTCTCAAGGCAGAATTTGGGGAGTAAGGATGTGTTTGAAATGGGTTGGCCTCCTGATGAATTAGCACACAGACAGAGTGAGACTTGCCAGGCTAAGTTGGAAGCAACCTGCCACCCCCTGCCACCCCACAGAGGACAGAGATTAGGGTTCGAGGGGGACACTACTGTTGGGAGTAGGCAGCAAATGTTTTACACATAGGTAACCGACATGGTAGCCTTTGAAGAATGGGTGGGTTTTGTCTAAGAATGTGACTAGGAAGAATGAGCTGGAAGGCTCAGTGGCAGCAAAGGTGGGGGGTTAAGAAAAAGCTGTCATACATAGTGTGGACTAGCTGGCTGGAGTCCTGGGTGAGGCTTGGAGAAAGGAGGACTGGCACTAATAAACATGTCAAACACAACACACACACACACACACACACACACACACCCCTGGAACACACCATGTGCTGTATAATTTGGGACCATGAGGCCAAGAGAATTTATTCGGGTGCTTAAACCTGCCAGCATCCAGGAGTTTGGCTTTGCTTAGCAGAAGTGAGTTGTGAACAGGTGATGGAACAGGAGAGAACACTTGGAGGAAGTAACTTCTGACTGGGCCCGAAACAGGAGTGTCATATGAAGTCTCCTTGCCTCCTCTCAGGGCCATCTCCAGAGTGGATGGTCCAACACACACTCACTCCGGGAGATTTGAGGGACCTCCAAGTGGAACTTGTCAAGACAAGTGTTGCGACAGAGGAGTTTTCTATTTTGATGAACATAAGCTGGATACTCCGGGCAGATGGTAAGTTTGCATCAGTCATAGTGTCTACTAAACTAGAAATGTGAAGGACATAGGACCCATTAATTCCAGTCCTTGGCACACACACCCCAGAAGCACATAGGCATATACTACCCTAGGATGTGTACTGAAACACTATTCATAACAGCACGCAGATGACCAAAAGCAAAAAGGAATCACAGAGTGGAAACTGTGTGTGTGTGTGTGTGTGTGTGTGTGTGTGTGTGTGTGTGTGTGTAACAATATGAATGTCCCAAACACAAGCAGCCAGAGTACTAAGAGCTATACAGCTATGTCTGTAATCATGCCTACAGTGGTACACGAAAGAATAAAATAAGTAGTTTGACATCAGATGGGGGGTTGGGAGCTACTCTGGCTTGGAAGTGATTTAAAGCATAGGCAGCACTGGGCTGGGGGCAGTTCTTGGCTGGGTGTGTAAGTGTGCAAAGTCACTGATGAGCAAAGGCTTTCCTCAGTCTTATTTCATGGAAGAGATGATTCCCCTCATTTTAGGAAAAGCTCTACTTAGGTTACTTTCCTACTTCTCAAATGACATGAAAGTCCCGGCATTTTCTCCAGATTATGTTGAGAGCAACATGCAAGTTCCTTAAACGAGCCGATCCAGGGACCTTAATGCCTATGCTTCTGGTTTCCATTTGCCAAAGCTAAACTTGCTTTCATCAAGATTCCATTTGCTCAGCACCTGGGAGACTAAAACAGGAGATTGCTACAAGTTTGAGGGCAATCTGGGCTATTTACTAGTTCCAGGACAGCCTGGGCTACAGGGTGAGACCTTGTCTCAAAAACTCAAGGAGGTTGTGGAAAGAGCCAGGAGAAGGGTCCCTATGAGCTGGGAAAACAGATCAGTGACAGGCTTTATCAGTCTGTTTTTCAGAGTAGTAGGAGAGGCAGCCAGGGATGCCCCAAACAGGTATTGGATCTATATGAGTGGGGTGGGGCTGGAAAGACCAGGGCAGGGCCTCAGAAGACTCCTGTGAGATGCTACAATAGGCTTCGGCCCCACATCAAACAGGGTGAGGTCTTTAGCTGATGTTATTATGGACTTTAAAGGGAACTCAGAAATACAGGGATGGAGGAACAGACAGACGAGGAAGTATGATTTGTATGGACATAGGACAGTCAAAACAGGCATAGTCTGGTACTGATGCTTTAAGGGTCTTTGTAAAAAAAAAAAAAAAAACCAAAAACCAACCAACCAACCAAACAAACAAACAAACAAACAACAAAACCCAAAGTCAAGGCTAAAGCACAAAGCATCCACTAAACCAGAAATACACAGTGTATAGGACCCATTCATTCCATCCTTAGGCACACCTAAAAGAAGTGCTAAAAGAAGAATATGTGTGCATTGAAAGATGCACCCTAGGATATGTGCAGATCCGAAGCAGATGTCTTATCTTCAACAGGACAGATGCATCACTAACCACAGGCACTTTGTACAACTCAAGCCAGCCTAGGAACAGCAGGGGTCTTGGGCTTTGGAATTTGAATTTGCACCTCCTGCTGATGAGCTGTGGAAGTTCAGGCAGAATACCCCTGAGATTCCTAAAACCTCATTTACTCCATCTGCACGTTGGGTACCACGGTACACATCAGACAAGACAAAGCTTTTAAACT